AACTAAGCTGCCCTAGTTAATGAATCCCACAGAATGGATGGCTTCTCAGCCAATGACATGACAATTTGAACTTCAAAGTTTCCAGTGAAACAAACTAAGAAGGGAACTTTGCTATATTGATAAACTCTAAATTTATATTTTGCATATCACCAATTAATAAAATTATAGAATAAAAACATGTCTTTTTAAAGTATCTACATTATAAAACACTTTCATATACATTATCTCAATTGGTCTTTTGAAGTATTCATGCAGATCTTATTCCCACTCTTATTTGACAGTAGGAAATTGAATCTCAGAAAAATTGAATGACTTACACAAGGTCACGCAGCGAATTATAAAACAAAGTTTCAAGCATTCCTTGTTTCATTCACTGCAGCACATTGCCGATCAGGGAGTGAGCAGTAACTAAACAGAGCATCAGAAAGATAGAGGCCGCCATGCTGGTTTATACCTGTAATCCCAGCACTTTGGGAAGCCAAGGCAGGCAGATCACTTGAGGTCAGGCATTGGAGACCAGCCTGGCCAACAGGTGAAACCTGTCTTTATTGAAAAAATACAAAAATTAGCTGGGCAGGTGTGGTGGCACGTACCTATAGTCTCAGGTGCTCAGAATGCTGAGGCAGGAGAATCATTTGAACCCTGGGATTGGAGGTTGCAGTGAGCCAAGATTGTGCCACTGCACTCCAGACTAGGCACCAGAGCAAGACTCTGTCTCAAAAAAAAAAAAAAAAAAAAAAAAAAAAAAAAAAAAAAAAAAAAAAAAGGAAGAAAGACACCTCTTTCCACAAGTAGGAAAGAGGATGACAGAGAAGAGCAGAATCTAGAAGAGTGTGAAACTAAAGAGAATGAAAAATGGGCCACTCATTCAGCTAGTGCTGAACTGCCTTGATTGTCCAGCAAATAAAGGGTGAAGGCATCTCCTGAAAGTGAAAGACTGATGGGATCCGCATAGGTAGGTGGGGAATGAAGACGGTTGGGTATAACAAAAGAAAACCCTTAAGGCTTGACAACATACATCAAGTCCCTAGATGCACCAGGCACCATGCTAAGCCCAAGGATAAAAAGATGAATAAAACATGATGCTGGAGGAGGAGTTTAAGGGACTAGCAAAGAGCTGCAGGAGCCCAGATGGTTACCAGAGACTGAATTTCAAATTTGATGAGTTAGTTACTTTTCTTTGGTAAAAGTGAATGAAACGTTCAAAGAATATGAAACTTGTGAATCAAGTAAGTTCTGCTCATCTCTCTGGCACCCATTCATTTAGTCAGCAAATATGTATTGAACCTTGACTATGTACCAGCACCGCATTAAATAGTGGGTACCTGAAGATAAATAGTGCAGCTAAATATCTAATCAGCAGATCTAAAATATCAATAAACTCCATTGTTTTACCTTCCTTATCAAAGATATTATGGACTATTGATATAATCTGTTTATTTTCATTCCTACACATCCTGCAGCTGTTCTTTTTGAATAGGCTTACAGATTTTTTTTTTGTTTATATTTTAAATCCATTCTTCAGACGTATAAGGAAGTTACTTGCTGTTTACTGTTTTTGTGAGTTTTACTTCACTTAGTACTGCAACCTATAGTTCTAAGGATGCAAATTCTCTGAGTATGTTACTGTCTTATCGCCCATAATGCATCATGTTTTTCATTAGTTTACTGACATTTTTCATGACTAAAGATTCTTTATGAAATTCATAATAATTTATGTAAGTGATGGATAGCATTTATTCCTATCCTATGTGCACACTATATACATTATAATACGTCATAGTGGTGTTCAAAGCAGGGTTTCTTAACATTGACACCACTGGTATTTCTAGCCAAGTAAGTCTTTGTTATATCGAGCTGTCCTTTGCATTCAGATGTTTAGTGGCATCCCTGGCTCTACTCATTAGACTCCATTAGCATTGCCCATACCCAGCTTTGACAACCAAAATTGTCACCAGATATTGCCAAATGTCCCCCAAGATGCAAAATCACGTTTGATTTAGAATGACTACTTCAATTTAGTCCTCACAATATCCTACATCTAAGATTTTTCAGTAAGAAATCTAAGAGTCTACCACTTGTGAAAAGTTTCAAAAGTATGGTTTCCCTTTGCCTGAGTTCTTACCACTACACTTTACTACCTCTCATATTGAGTCACTCAGGACATCACTGTCCCATAACTTCAAATAAAAAGTAGGACTTAGTTTTGCCTAGAGTTGCTTGTTGATTTTTAAGTGAGAAATGAAAGAAAATGCTTTAGAGCAATCAAAGAGAATCTGGCTTTAGAGTGATCAAAGACAAAGCAGCTGGAAGCCAACTACACCTCATCAGAGACATAATTCAGACAGAGCCTAGTTTGGGGAGGACATATCTGCTCCTCTACTTTCTCACTTTCCCCACATGGCCTCATCTTTATATTATCCTAAAATGCACACTTTGTGTTTTAGTACAGTGACTTATACAGAGACAACATTTCAGAGCTACGTATATTGAACTGCATTAATTGAAATATACTTGCTATTCAGGTTTCATCCCAGGTTCCCAATTAACCCAAGAAGTAGTTGCTGAATTTCAGATACCCAAAACTATGTTCATTGCGAGGTGGTGGAGAGAAAAGAGAAAAGGGAATCAGTCCCTCTGGCCTTCAGAAAAGCCCAGGTTTGACTGGACAAAGGGACAAAGTACAAACAAAGAAAAACCAGAGATCACAAGACTGAGCATGAGCAAGTAGGTGAGATTGGGCATGTAACTTTCATCAAGGCAACTGGAGCCTGAGCCAGGTCCTCTCTGTCCCTCATCACCCGGTGACCTTGGAGCTCAAAAGCCTTTCTGGGCCGGGCGCGGTGGCTCAAGCCTGTAATCCCAGCACTTTGGGAGGCCGAGGCGGGTGGATCACGAGGTCGAGAGATCGAGACCATCCTGGTCAACATGGTGAAACCCCGTCTCTACTAAAAATACAAAAAATTAGCTGGGCATGGTGGCACGTGCCTGTAATCCCAGCTACTCAGGAGGCTGAGGCAGGGGAATTGCCTGAGCCCAGGAGGCAGAGGTTGCGGTGAGCCGAGATCGTGCCATTGCACTCCAGCCTGGGTAACAAGAGCGAAACTCCATCTCCAAAAAAAAAAAAAAAAAAAAAAAAAAAGCCTTTCTGGACCTCAGTTTTTCATCAGTTAATACATACATTTTAGATAAGGCTGTGATGTTTTGGGTCTGTGTATTGTCTATGGTGGGTGCCCAATTAGTGAGTAATTAAGGCCTAAGCAAATAATACCATTTCAAACAAACTATCTATCTATACAGCACCTTACAGTTTATAATACACTTTCGTATTCATTATCTCATTTGATCCTTATAATGATCTCAGGATATTGGCCAGGAAATTATTTTTCCTATTTAAGATGATTAAACTGAGGCTTGTAGAGGCTGGTCAGCAGTGGAGTTAAAACCCTAGCCCACATCTTCTGAAACAATGTGCTTTTCAGAAGCACACCATGCTGCCTCTTATGAAACATGAGGAAATATTTGTCTTTTCTTAATATCTCCCTTTTTTGGATTTTATCATCAGCTTAAGTTGCCTCAATGGGAGGATCATTGGGGATACCTTTATTAAGCCCCCTAAATGCAATGGGATATCCTTCTTCTGTGTTCTCAGGGCATCCTAAACTTAACTCTTCGTAGCACCAATCACTGTGATAATTACTAATCAGTCTCTGCTACTAGACTGTAAACATATTGAGGGCAGGGCCAGTATCTTCTTCAGTATTTCATTCTCGATGTCCACCACAGTGCCTGATGATAGGTGCTCCATAAATATTTGTTAGATTAACTGAATAGGAAAACTCAACGTAAGATTTGTAGAATTCCTAAACTTGCCACTAGGAAAGTTCAATGTCAAAACTTTATTACAGTTTCCCAGTCCCCAAATAATCCTGTACATTAATTCTGGGCTCCTAAGAAGCCAAGTTAATCATTTATGTTTTATAAAAATGATTTTCATCTTCAAACTGTAAAATGGAGTAAATTTACATTGTCAGTTTTAATCCAGTACCCTCGTGGGTATACTGCCACAATTTTATGACTATAACATTGGGTAACTGGATAGATGAGTTGCTAAACCTTAAATTAATATGTGTGTACTAGATTTTCTGTTAACCAGCCATCAGACTCACAGATGCAAACACTTACAGCAGACAATTATGTAGGCGACACCATAATTTATGATTATTAATGTTTTCACTATTTTTACAGGGTCTAATCAGCATGGCTCAACCACAGACTTTTGGTTCATTTACATACTATTCATAATGTCCACCTTCTGGATCACGGTTACCTTTGTAAGATTTTAACTTTTAAAAGATCAGAATAGGAAAGAGAAATTTGTATCAAGTGATATTTGAAATGAGGATATGTATACCTTAAACTTGGCTATATTCTTTCATATTTTGAACATCCTTAAATAAATAAAGGAGAGGGGATCACAGAAATGCTAAGACAAAGAAAAGGGGGTAGAAATTGTTTACCAAGGTCCAAAATGTTGTGTTTTCCTTAAAAATAAGGCAAGGGTGGGCCAGACACAGTGGTTCATGCCTGTAATCCCAGCACTTTGGGAGGCCAAGGGAGGTGGGTCACTTGAGGTCAGGAGTTCAAGACCAGCCTGGCCACTGTGGTGAAGCGAAACCCTGTCTCTATTAAAAATACAAAAATTAGCCAGGCATGGTGGTGCACAGCTGTAGCCCCAGCTAGTCGAGAGGCTGAGGCAGGAGAATCACTTGAACCAGGAAGGCAGAGGTTACAGTTAGCGAAGACCATGCCACTGCACTCCAGCCTGGGCCACACAGCAAGACTCCATCTCAAAGAAATGAAAAAGCAAAAAAAAAAAGGCAAGGCAAGGGCAAAGGGCATTTAGCAAGTAGCCTATGAGTATATTTCAGTCCAAGTATTATTATATATCTAAATCAATCGTTGATCTTCATTTTTTTTTTTTTTTTAATGTCCCATAGGATTTTCTGGAGACGGCAGGTTCACTTGCGGGCAGGAATTCGGCCCAGCACTATTACCAGCTCCTTCCCTCAGCTCATGTCCAATGTGGATGCAGCTTATGAAGTGGCTGAGCGGGGCACTGCTTACTTCTTCAAAGGTACCCTACATCCTCTATGAAAGAAATGGCAGGGCTGCAGTGCCCCATCCATTTGGCATATCTAGCCCTGCCAGCATTTGTCCAGCCATCACAGAACACATTTCAGTTGCCCTTTGTCCTCAGGTTGGGTATGAAATTCCACCCTACATTTGTTATACCCTACATTGTGTAACAGTGAAAGTGATGGCAGTGACCATTAACCAGAACCAAGCCTGTTAGCCTAGTAAGGCACTGTGTTAGGTGGTAGAGCCCAAGGAGCTAGAAACCTGGTCTCTGCCTCACAGGACCTCTGCTCAGAGTGACAGTGTATACTCTAGTGAGACCCTTTAATAAATAAAAGCCAACATGGAACTCAGTGTGAGGTAAACAATAGCCTTACTTCTATGCCGTGGTCAGAAGCAGCCAGGACAGGAGGATGCCTTCGAGCTCAGGAGGCGGACACACATACCAGTCTCTGGCTCTAACCCTTTACTATTTGAGTAACTTTGGGAAGCTATCTAACTGCTCTGAGCTCCACTGTTTCCTCTGTAAAATGATTATAGCAATATAAACCTTGAAGATGTGTTGTGACTATGGTAAGCCAAAGGAAGTTATCCAGTAAGTGATAACTATCAGTTTTAGCTTATATTTTCTTGATGCTGAGGGATAAAGGTAGAAAGCAAGTGCCAATTTAAGTAAACATCATTGCATTTTCATGTCACTTGCCCATTCTCTCTCATAGATCTATGAAGGTGAAATGAGATTAGAAATGAAGGATAGCTTGAAAGATGTAATATATTAAATGTAAAACACAATTCTACAAATGTTAATGCTTTCTTAAGGCATAAGTAGGGACTTCTGCCTCCAGGGAAGTTTGAAGTCTTTTATTGAACTGCATAGTTAGAAGTTTATACCTCCTGTTGGGTTATAGCCATGGGAAATATCCCATAAACTAACCCCATTTATGATCCTTCATAGAAATCTTTATGAGAGAAGTGTATCACCAAGAAGTGCAGTTTTCATAAACTTAAATTTCTGTTTACAGGTCCCCACTACTGGATAACGAGAGGATTCCAAATGCAAGGTCCTCCTCGCACTATTTATGACTTTGGATTTCCAAGGTACGTGCAGCAAATAGATGCTGCTGTCTACCTCAGGGAGCCACAGAAGACCCTTTTCTTTGTGGGAGATGAATACTATAGGTATGGCTTTTTTCCTTTTGACTGTCTATATGTATTCAATGAAAAGGATTAAAAAAAAAAAAAAAAAAAAAAAAACCCTTCCATGAAAGAATGCAAGGCAAGTTTGCACTAACCCGTTGACTTTTTTCAGCCACTGGGGTGCCACTTACAGATGGTTGACTGTCTTCAAGATATGGAACCATCCAAATGATGAGTGAAACCTTCATTCAATAATCCCATTGTTTGGTCTCTAGAATACAGCACATCTTGATCTTTCAATGCGCTCATTAACTGGACCCCTAGTGGCCTAAAAGAGTAGATGCAGCATCACCAAATCCCTAACTACTCACTGAGAATGCCTTACTTTGCCGTTATGTGAGCATGAAATGCATTCCACAATACTCCATGATTTGGGGCAAAATGGAGATGGTCCTGATCATGGGGCTCTTTGAAGGATATTTCTGCTGGAAGGAAAAGGTCTTTTGCTTAGTCCTTTTATCCAGCTGAGAATACGAAGATTCTTCTTATCCAAAGGAAACCATATAATTTCCATGCCTGTCCTCAGGGGCTTCATATGAGCAAATCTCAATCAGATGTGATCTGTCATCCAATTGCTGCACATAGCATCACATCTCATCTCAGCTACTGAGTTTCTAATCTTAATTGACCCATGTTGAGGAACAAGTGAAGCTCCTTCAAAGATCACCTCTGCTTCTGCACACCTTTCCCTCTGTTTCAGTTTTCTCTTTTTAACTGTTTACCTAAACATCTGAAGAGAAAAGCAAAAGCAGATTCTAAGCAGGTGACAATGCTAGACACCTTAGGCTCATGATAGAGTCTTGAAGGAAACAGGAGAGCACCCAACTTTGTTCCAAGAACTTTCATTTTATTTCATATCACCTATTTTAAATAACCATTTTCGTGGCATAAAAGAAATTTTAAAACAATTTATATGTCATTTTATTCCATCTGACTCACATTTTCTTCCCCAACTTGGAACTGAGAAAGTAATACAAGTGAGGCACATATATATTTCATAAGAAAGCAAATTTCTTTTATAAAGAAAGAACTGCAAATAAATATGGACTCTGCTGACTCTTCTGGGCCACTAAGAGCACTGGAAGCATTGCTCAGTGTCATGTGGTGTCATGAGCTGTCACTTCCATACCAGTGTTTAAACCATGAGGCCAACTATTTTTATCTCAGACCTTTCAAAAACATGATGCTAGGAATTCACTTATTGAGGCCCTAATATCTGCAGGACAGAATATGATTCTCTAAAGTCTTTCTTTAAGATAAGGTGGCTGTAGTCACAGAGCTGACATACAGGAAGACAGGTATTGAGAAATCCAATTCCCCTGGTGAATTTTCAGAGAATGAAATCAAGAGAAGCATGCATCAGCATGTGTGTTGGAGTATGAAGACATTTATATTAGTATTATTCAGTTCACGTTTTAAAAGGTGTTCACAGTGTGATTCTCCTAGGAGGAGTTATCCACTCTCCCATTTCTCTCTTGCCAATATTTCACCTTGTCTTTGGTCTAATCTATCACCCACCAGCACCTGCAGTAAAATATATACCTTCAGCCAGGCTAAACTGAAGCTTAACAGCTAAGACAACATATGTGGGTAGAGATTCAAAATTCTCTGTAAGTTTTAAGATGGGAAGGTCAAAGGTCTCTGATTTTAGTGATGCTCATTCCCCCCAAAGAAAATCATCCTGTACATTTCCAACTGGTCCTCTGTGAGTATCTACTAAGAAGAAGTTTTTCATAATCTAAATTAAAACAGATTCATAAAAAAATTGGTCTAGGGCATTAACTAAAATGTTAACAAGCTTGTTTTGCTGGTTAAGAAAGGAAACTACGGTAGGCACTCCTAACCTTCCCAAGTTATGGAGGGTGTTAAGTGATATAAAGCATGCAGATACAGACACCTAGCAGTGTCTGCACAAAGTAGGTGCTCAAAAAGAGTTATTCTTCAGCAACAGTAGGAACTTATATAGTAACTAAAAAATAATTTCTTAACAAGTTGTGATGCTTAAGAAATTGCTTAAACTCCAGTATTTCTCTGAGTGGTGATTCAGACAAAAGTCTGGTCAAAGGGAATTTCCTGTTTAAATACCAAAGGCCCCAAACATTGGACTGAAATTACTGTTTTTGGCAAAACATAGATAATCCCTTCAGCAATGGGAGGCTTCTACTTTACATATTCCAACACACACCCTGGTGTATGCACCGAGGAGTAAGACAACCCCGACCTACAGCACAGAAGTTCAGAGAAAGCTATTGTACTGGCTGTATTCAGAAACATCCTTGAATTCTCCACAGTATGCTTTGCAGGGCCTCATCTGTGTGACATCTTTTTGTCATGTGAAGCCCTATATTGATTAGAAATTTAATTTAGCCACTAGTATAAGAGACCCCAAAATAATTGTGGCTTAAACACATGAAGGTTTGTTTTTCTCATATATGTAAAAAGTCTGACGGTTTAGAGCCAGTATGGCAGGTTGGTGATTACTGGGGACCCACATTCCTTTTAACATTTTGCTCTGCTATTCTTAACACATACTTCCATTCTCATGGTTGCCTCATGACTCGAGGTGGCCAAGGGAGCTTTAGCCATTATGTCCCTACTTTAGAAGGATGGAATTGAGAAGAAAGCACAAAGGAGATAATGAAGTTTTGTAGGTAAGCACATGGCCACACTCAAAAGTATGGAAGGTTCCAAACCTCAAGTTATAGAAAAAGAATTTCACTACATTGACATCCACTGAAAGTGTGTTAGGTCTTATTTCTCTTAGACATTTCTCAGGTTCTTCCTTATTCCTCATGCTATTTCAATCTGTGACATAAATAATGTGCCAAGGAAAGAAAAGCCTCTGGAAATTCTCCATGAACTCCCAGAGTTTGGACTCAGTTTAGTGAATAAAATGCCATGAGAACATCACCAAAGATCTTCCTTCACAGAGGATTGAAGGTTGGCTTGGTGCCCAGTTGGATTAGGCTCTAAAAGGGAGAATTCATGTGTCTGTGTGGTAGTTACTTATAGAGGAGCAGCACACAGAGGACCACAATGTCAAATCCAAATAGGAGGCTCTACCGTGTTGATGTCATTACATGCTACATCAGCAAATGACATATGGGTTAAACTTTGCCAACTAGAGTCACTTCCCCTTACTTTTATTTCTTCCTTTTATCTTTATATCAGGCCCTAATGGTTTCATAATTTTTCCATTTTTTACATTATTTCCCCTACCTATGGCTAACTTCTTCTTTTAGATGTTCTCCCTTTCCTACCAGTGGCAGAGCAGTGGCTACATCAAGGGATTTCTGGGGGCAGAGGCTTGTCACCAACTCTATAATTCTTCAAGACAGTCAGTGATTTCTGAATTTTATGCAAAGTGGCTTGCAAATCTGCATGTCCTGCCCTTTTTCAATCACATTGCCCCTCCACTCCAAATTACTATTTATCTACAGTCAGACCCAGGGCATCATTGCGGCAAAGTAGAATACATCTTCCACATTCTCTCCTTCCTGAATGCCTCAGAAATACTAGAAATAGATGTTTTTATTTGATGAGTTTATAGTCACTATAAAGAAATAAATAATAAGTAATAAAAACAAGTAAGACAAAATAGAGTTCAAAATCTTGTTTTCTAATGTTTTAAATTTTTTAAAAAATTATTACTAAACTACCACATTCAACCTACATTTATTAGGCATATTATGTGTCGGCTTGTGTACTAGTGACATTCAAGAGAAGGTGTGGAGTTTGCTGGTTAAGAATGGGCAGAAGTAAAAGACTCCTAGTGTTACTCTCAACTCTACCAGCAATTATCTGGCAATTTGGATCACCTTTCTGTCTCAGTTTCATCATCTGCAAAATGGGAGTAGAAATAGTATACACTTAATAGAATTATGGCATCGGATAAGAAAAATGTGAAATGCTTGTCACATAATAAGCAATCAGTTCATGTTACGTGTTGTTAATGCCCTCAACAGGTTTTACAGTGGAGAGTAAATACATAGATAAATAACTAACAGAAATCCAAGTGGCAAGAGTGCCCTGATACAAGACTTCATGGAGTTCTGTGGGCCAAAATAAAGAGGAAATGGCCAACTTAGCAAAATTATCAGGAAAGAATTCTTAGAGGAAGTGATGGCTAAGCTCCATTTTGAGAGTTGTGTAGGAGTTTCCCAGACAGAGGATGAGGTGGGGGTGGTGGCTTCCAGGCAGAGAAAGCAGCTGAAGCAAAAGCACTGATGCATGAAAAAGTATGTGAGCATGGGGAAAACCTCAAGCAGTTCAGTATGACTAGAACACAGACTAAAATGAGAAAGGTGGCCCAAGGAGAACAGGGTACAGATCATGTCGGGTCATCGCCTTTCTAGGGAGATCAGTGTTTATTCTTCAGAGAAGAGGGATATGTTAAATATCTTCAATAAGGGAGCAACTCAATAAATAAGATTTATTTTATAAAAATAACACTCTGCCAGCAATGTGACTGAATTAGAGGGAAACAGACTTGAAGTCAGATAAACTAGTTAGGCCAAAAGGCAATGGAAAGCATACTGAAAGTTCTCAAACTAAAAACTCAACCAAGATTCTTAAATCCACAACAGTTATCTTTGAAAAATGAAGGAGAAATAAAGACATTCCCAGAGAAACAAAAACTGGGAGAATTTATTGCTTGCAGATTGCCTGACAAGAGATACTAAAGAAAGGTCTTTAGGCTGAAAGTAAGCCTAGATAGCAATTCAAGTCCCTTCAAAAAGCCAGAGAGCACCAGTAAGTGTAATTATGTAAAAGTATAAATGCATATTTTCTCTTCTTTCTTCTCTTAATTTGAAAATGTAAAAATCAATTATATTAAACAATGTACATATAATTGTATAATTGTGATGTTAAGGCCAAAACATTTGGAGATATATTTGTCAATAACAACATAAAGGAAGCAGGTGGGAGCAAAACTGTATTTGTCGCAAAAAATGACACCAGATGGTAACTAAAATTCACAG